GAAGACTCGATACGATATGAGAGCTACAGACATCGATTGAATGTAGGTGACAAGGTATAGAACCAGTTCAATGGACAGGACCTTCTCATAAACTAGTCACTCTGGAATGGTCTTCACACAGTTCTCAATAAGCTGAATGGCATCGTATTTTGGATCTGTATGCCATCAAAGTCTAAGCCTTAAGTTGTTGATTACAAGTATAGACTCTTACAATGGCCATAGTATGTAATCCCCATAGTATATGTAATGTAAATGATATACTAAGCCTAGACGGTATAAGCTAAGCTAAAATTATCTAATTCAGTTAATGTTGCAGATTGCGCTGTTCCTTAATTTTCGAATTGGATTCGGCTTATTATTTTTTGCATACTGTTAGAGCAATTTTAATAAAAGTAAGCTGAACTTTCGATTCTTCAAAGAATTTCTGATATATATTTACTAATATTAAGGACTACAAAACGAAGTAGGTTTTGAAATCCGAAATCTGTTTCAATTCACGCTGCTCTGTGGCCGGGGGAAGGAAGCCGGCTCGCAATGCTTGGAAGTTGATCTGTCACACTACCTTATCTTCAGGGCAATGTTTTTTATTTGATTTGGCTTTAATTCCTACAAATGTAGTATTCTCTTGATGTACTTCGCTTTCATATATTTAAATCAATTCCTCTTCATTTAATTCGCGTCCATAGTGAAGAAGTGACAGAGAGTTATTGAAAACGAAAACATTGCGATTGACAAATTAGTCGTTATTCTCCACAGCAATAAGTACTTGAACAGCAAACTTGTACTAAACAGAAATTGTCTGTTAACCCTTTCATGGGCCGTGGGAAGGTTACTTCCCACTTACATGATCCTGGGAAATACACCTGTGGGAAGTGCAAAATCCGCTATAATATATTGGCTTTGGTATTATAACGTTGGGACTATAATTCTCACTTCAGTATTGTGCTGCCTCTGTGTTCAATCGATTGAAAACAGAATTAACACATTTATTTGAAAGTTCAATGCGTTGTGTGAATCTGTTTCCTGAGACCCTGCTTTGATTGACTTTGCATTGCTATGCGTTCTGCTTCAATGTAGTAAACTTGTTTTTATTAATAACGTTTCTTTTTGTATATTTCTGCGTAACTATCTATTGATATTATAATGGGTAAAAAGTGAAATCTATACATATGTATAAAAGCCTGTGCAATAGTATGTTGGAAAAAATTAGAATATTTTTGAAAATACATTTGAAATATTTTCAATTCTACTGGAAAAAAAAGTTATTTTGCATGATTTTTACTGAGGAAATTTTACAGATATTGTTGACGAAACAAACTCATATGCAAAGCAGCCTAAGAAAGGGAAGAGATTGGGTCATACGACAAAAGACATTATCCTTAACCGGAAAGAAATCACATCAGAAGAATTGAAAGCATGGGCAGGTATGCATATACTCAAGGGTTGCCTGAACTGAAAAACTGCTGGAGCACAGACCCCATTTTCAATGTTCAATTAGTAGCAAGAATAATATTCACAAAGATGTTCAAAAAATAACTGAGACTTTGCATGTAAACGAAAACAGCCCAAATCCATATGGGCAATTTGCGTATGATAAACTCCTAAAGTCAGGCATCCTCTCACACCGATATCCATACCTAAAGTCTATAACCTTTGTCAAATTGAATAGATGATGTACTATAGCTCAAAAGAGAACTTCATTGAGCAGTATATGCCAATGAACCTATAAAAGAGGTTACAAGGTGTGGGTTTAGCAGCTTCTAAGACTGGATTATTCAAAAATTTGGAATTTATTTGGAAAAGAACTCTGATAATAAGGATAAAATCAAGCTTAGGGGAAACAGTAATAACTAAACTAACGGAAATGTGAAACAGACAGGTCTCTTATAGCCTATGATAACTATTGACTCTTTTAGGCTTGCAAAAAAGTCTACTTAATGTCTATTTTCGGTTGGACTGTGAGCCGCAAGGAAGGCTAATAACAAACTACAAGAGGGAATCAGGTTCTAGCTAAGGAGAAGTTGCATAAGTGAATGGACAAAAGGCTGTACATGTTGAATACTGCACATAATTCAGCGATTATTCTGTAATCGACAAAAAGATATACTAAACAAAGTACTTCCCTAAACTTTGCCGTAATACGATATCAAGGGGTTGATTGTTTCGATCAAAAAGAAAGGTCCAAAACTAGAAGATCTGTAAATGTGCATCATATTTTTATTTTCTTTTGATCTGCATCGTAAATAGTTTATACTGTGGTAAGAAACAAGAGAACAGAATTTAGACCAGCTACATTCGTATAGCATTAGCTCGTCACTAAAATGGTATTCCTCAAAAAAGAAAGGCATTCTGCTAGCTTCCAAGCAAAAAGTGTTCAGTTTCCAATGATGTATGCTTAGTCAGTGTGGAATCATATGCCAAGATGTTTCCAACTATAGACGATATAGAATGGCACAAGGCACAAGAAAAGGACCCGCTATAATGTGTGCGTAATCTTTAATCCTCTTGCTTGCAACATTTTCTCATCTTTTTCGGCAAATAATCACATTAATTGAATTTTCTCTATGCCATAAAGGCCTGGAGTATCTTCCCACCCCTAAATTATGTAAAAAAAATTTGCAAAATAAAATATATTTCCTTAATGCTATTTTTAATTGATAATAACATAAAAAAATGGAAGAATCCAAAGAGAAAAATGGCCCACGAAAGGGTTTAAGGATTAAAGAGAAGTATTATCACATGAAACGAAGCAACTTAAACAACTTACATGAAGAATGTTTAAAGTAAACAAAAATAGTAATTTTTTTGGTAATTTTGATACCTTAGTAAGATCATCTTGTTTTTTTCATAATTATGGTTTCATATTTTAATTTGTATTTCTGCTGCATCTTACCAGATTTAAACTGATGATCATTAATCCGGAATTGCCGAAGTCCCGACGAGTTCGGATTAATGACTTTTGACTTTATACGTCTTCTTGGAATTCTGAGAAATTCGAAAGTACTAGAAATTCTTTAACGGCCTGAAGAAAACTATATAAAACGGAAGAGAGCATCAGTTCTCAATTTAGTTCAGAGTGTTTAGATATCTTTGTGTGAGCTTTGCTCTTTAGATGTGCTTTTCATTGCATTGTGTTTGATGCTCTTAGTAGTTTGAAGTGGTATCTACTGATTATTCTGTGCCATATTGAGAAGAGTTGCACAAAGACTTTTGTGAAAAGTTCAAGAATTATGTAGCCTTTCTTTTCGAAAAACAAATTTTATCAAGCTATCATCAGTTCTGTGTGCACTTGATCCATTACCAATCCATACACATGAGCAATATGTATTGATTTCATTAATGAATATTAATAAATACATGTATATAAGTATGCAGTAAAACTTTTTGTGACCTAGCAACCATTCTCTCTGTACCTGTTGTTTACCAATTTTAAAAAAATCCTTTAAATGCCCAAAACTTCAACAATTGCCCAAAAGGGCTATTTTAAATTTAATGTGATTTATCAGTAGAGATTATCCACGGAAATCCTATGTGGAATGGTTAAACATTTTATAGGATACTGAATGAATATACTCTATACATGGGAACAATATAGATCTTCTGCGTATTTTAAAATAAAAAAAAATTATATATAGTGTAATTCTGTAAAAACATTTAATGTTTTTAATTAGGTGTGTTATGAATTAAATACATTTATATTTAAATCAATGAAATTAAAAATTAATATTCTTCAGACCTACATCTATTGATTTTACATAGCTTAGTTTGTTAATCAATAAAAGACTGATTAAATTTGAAACATGCATATCCTACATTTGGGCAAATGGTAACAAATTTGAATGAAAAGCATTTACTGCATTTAAAGTGTAACTATCTTGCACTTTGCGTAATGGCAAGAGACTGGAATGAAAAGTGAAATAATGCATTTACTGTAAATGATGCAGAATAATATTTTGAGACTATTAACTCTTTCGGGTCTAGTTTTTTATTTTGATATAATAATATTGTATAATTTATAGTCACTTTGGGAATATTCTATGATCATAATTCTGTCTTCACGTATCTGATCTACAAGTTCTAGTTAATTAATTATTTCTTAAAGGGTGCCCTAAAATGCTATTTTTAAATATGAAACTACAAATAATTGAAATTCATAAATGAAAATTATTCCATTACTTAATTTAATAATTTTTTGTATTTAAATTTCTTCCGGTTTTATAAGGGTCGTTTCTTGTGAAGGTCATTCAGCATGGCCAAAAATACTCATTACTTTTATGAATGAATTTCCATCATGTGTCTGCAAGATGATGTAGAAGCATTTGTAATGTGATTCTCCAAATTTCATTAGTTCCACAATTCAAATAGTAATTGCTTTATAACATAAAAATTCTGTATCTTTTAAATTTGAACATACATTAAAATGGCATGAAGCACAATGATTAAAACAACAAACAGTTTGAGTGGTGTCATCAAAATAAATAACTAACTAAAATTGCTAGATTGCATACATCATGATCCATAATTATATGTATTTTCTTATTTTATTTGTGAGTTACTAATATAGTTAAAAAATGTGAAATTTTTGTATGATTTTAAAGTTTTTAACTGTTTTTGTCAAATGGATAATTTTTTTTAAAATATTAGAAATATTTTAAAGTCTTTTCAAAATGTTTGGATAGTTATATTATGCTGCATTCATTATGTTATGTTACATTATACTTTTATGCATTTATCATTCACATGACTTGACAAATGTACTACTGAGTATATTAAACATTTAATCCATTTTCCGCAAGCCTTGCAAGTAGCCAGTTAATAGAATGCTGCCATTCACCAGAATATAAAAATCTTTAATTTATCTTTCATATTTAATCTATCTTAAGTGCTTAGCAAACTGAGTGATTTAAGAGCAAAAATGCACAGCTTACTAATTAAAATATATATGTGGAATATGCAAAAGTACGTGGTGAATAATTAAGCTGTAATATGTAACTTATAAACTCGTATATTTTTACATTATAGATTTTGTCCATGATTGAAGAAGCTTGTGGTACTCGAATGTATGAAGATAAAAAAGAAAATGCTCTGAAAAATTTAGAAAAGAAAGATTCACGTCTTCGAGAAATTAATACGTTAATAATTAAGATTGTTAAAAAAATCAGATTTATACTTTGAACCTTTTGTTTTGCAGTGTAATTGTTCTATTTTAAAAAATTTTAATTTAATTAACTTGGAGAAAATGGAGAGGTAGGAAAACTATAATGATTTTTTAAAACTTTTGCATTATTCTTTATCTGTATTGGAATTTATAAGATCTCGTAACAATTTTAGTGTTGTTTCATTAATAGCTAATTTCACAGCACATGTAAGATGATAGTAAATTATAAATCTACAAAATTGTCTATGATGGTATTGTTTTTACATCATGATTAGTGTAGCAATTTTATTATAGTGTGAATATCTGCAGATTTTGGTAAAATTTCCAGATATTTATGAATATCAATTTTTTAAACTATCAAGCATATTAATTAATTTCAGGTTTTTACTAATATTTTTTTTTTTTTTTTGAATTTTGTTTTATTGTTACATTATTTTTTATTTTGTGTATAGCCTTTAAAACTACTTATCAATAGAATTTAAGCAATAAATACTCTCGCCAAACAATTCTATTCCAGAATTCAAACTAGAAATTTGTATCTTAATTTATTACCTGTTAGTTTTGCTGGAATTTTGGAGTATAAAAATAGGCTATTTTCAAGAGTTGCATAAAATGATTTGTTGTTGTTCTTCAGTATTGACAAATACTTTCAAAGCAGAATAATTCCCCTATTTTAGAAATGAGTTTTTTAATGATTAAAATGTTCTAGGTAATGTATCTGACTGCTTTATTTTTAAATGGAAATCTTTAGTAGGTTTGATTGCTTTACCAGAATTCGATGGGTTGAAAATATGTAATATACTGCTATTTAGTTTCAAACTAAGTATTCTTATTTTTGGGTTATTTGCTTATTGTGGCCCAAAGAGATCCAAGGCCCATGGACGAAGTTCATATAGGAGGAGTGTCCTAGTTACTTTCTTGTAAGAGAAAAGTAAGATTATGAGAAATTTAGATGTTTTTCAAGGCCATCGTGCACACATGGTGAAATGGCATAATGCAGATAATCTGTGGGAATATTTCATAGATTAAATACAAGCTCATCTCGTATTTCAAAAGGTTTGTTTAATATTTCATCTGCAGAGAAACTTCAATTAGGAAAGCATTAAGGTAGAAAGAATATCATGTTTACAAAAATAATTAAATAGTTTTTCTTCAGCTTCATTTAAATGAAGCTGCTGTGTTTGGAAAACAGTTTTTAGTAGGACTGCCTGGCGCTTGTGTAACTAGTAGAATATTCTTTTAAATATAACTAGCAGGTTTTTTGGAAGAGGGAAGGGAGAAGTGTAATATAAATATTTGTCAGCCTTAAAATTATTCATATAAGTCACAAAATTTCATGATTTATCTTGGATCTGCTCTGTAAATTTTGCTCTTTTTCTTTGCAATAAAATTGCTACTTATGTATTAGTTCAGAATTAGAGATCTCTCCTTCCAATGAATCTGGTATATTTCTGATTTAGGACAAGACTGTGATAAAATTCTTCGTGCCTCTCCAATCAGTGTTCTGAGATTTACTTTAAAAAATTAATATAAATATTTAAGCTTTTATAGTTTCATGGAATAAAATGAGATACTATGTTAAGCCCTTCTATTAGAAAAAGGACAACATTTCTTTTAACAAAGCAGTTTGATAAATACATGGTGGTTCATATCATATCACTTCATTGCAAAATTATCAGCTAACAAGATATCTTAGTGTACAGAAGATAACCCCCTAATTGCACTATAGATGAACTTTTTAGGAACATCTCAGCACTCTCCAACTGATGATTTTGTAAAAATCATCACTATTTCATTATACAAAAAGAATTCAAATTTAAGAAGGCAACTTTACAATACTTTTATGTTATGTACATATTAAATGATAAAAAGAAAACTCTAAGCATAGTAAATAGTGTAAAATTGAGAAGTTACTAAGTAAATATTAAATCAAATTACAATTAGTAAATTATAATAGTAACTCTGCAAATTACTTATTATTGGGAAGTTACTAAGCAAATATTAAATCAGATTACAAATAGTAAATTATAATAATAACTTAGGAAATTAATAACTTAGGTTACATAAATGTACATGGAATATGTGAATATTGAATAAAATTTGCTGATTCAGTTAATTTTTCAGTTTGAAAGTTCAACGGGAATACATCAGTTTTACAAGTCTCTTAAATTCTCCTCTTTTAGTTTCCACCATATGTGATCCTACAAGACCATCACAATCTTTCAAGACTTAAATTATGTGACACAAATTCCACAAAATTCCACAGGAACTTAGATTTGGTTGCTTCTTCAAGTAAAACTACATCATCAACTTCAAGATTCTTAGTTTCAATAGATATTGAAGAAATGAGCATTTCTTATTGATTTTTCTGTGTTTTCTAAGTCTGTTTTATATTTTTTTGTTGCTGTTTTTGTTTCATTAAATTTTCTCATGTTAGAGAAATATTTCCAAGATCTCTGCAAAGTTGTATGAATACTCAGTTTTATGTCCAATCAGTAGAAAATGAGCTGGTGTAAGTATCCAATGTCTTGTATTAGAATCCTCCCCCCTTAAAAAAAAATTGAATTGTGTGAATAAATTTCAGCTCTTGTATTATAGTGGCAGATTTATTATGTAATATTAGATTTCTATTTTGAAACTTGAGCTTTTTTAGAGTTTCAAATCAAGAGTTTTGTTGTGTGAATCAAGTTAAGGCTTTGAAATGTTTTATTCACTCTAGCATTCCTTTATTAAGAGCAATCTTGGAAGATTTTTATTGAATAGAAAGCACATATTTTTATTGTATTGAGTGTTTTCTTTGAAATAAAATACTTGATATAACTTTTATGTCATATTTGAATTTCTAATTTATTGGAGGTGGGTGAAGAGACCACTAGATTATTTTCTGCAAGTTGATATGAACATTGGCTAAAAGTTTTTAAAACTTCATTTTGATACGCTGTTCAAGAATTTGCTGTTTGAGCAGTGTCCTTTTTTTTTTTTTTTTTTTTTTTTTTTTTGGCCAAGGGTATAAACAAGATTTATTAGGAGCTGAAGAATTAGGTGAGGATATGCTGTTCATTAGTCATGTTCCAGAAATTAAAAAACTAATCACTTTAAGCCAATTTTATGATGAGGAAAATATTAAGTTAATTCTAAACCAAGTAATTACTGATCAGCCAGAGAATCGTCTGAAGATGCAACTAAATAAGATTATGTGAAAAATCTAATCTTAAAGAGGTATAAATTTAACAGTGAAAAAATGATTTTATTGACATCAAAAGACTCTTGAAAAGTCTTGGAGAAATTATGATCATAAACTTTGCAGTTACTTTTTGGAGTGGATTGAAAATTTAGAATTTAAAACATTTGAGAACTGAAGGCCTTAATAATTACTGGGCAAATTAAATATCAGGTTCTAGTGGAGAGGAGCACATTTTCTTGACAAATAAGTAGCAAAGTAAGGGGATATTTTGACAAATGGATAAAATTAAAACTCCATATGAATTTGAGAATATTAAACAAAGCTGTAAGAAGGGCAATTCCTAAAAATGGGATTTAAAGCCTCAAGAATGTAATCAAAATGGAATCAGAATACAAGATAGCTATCACAGTAGATAACAATCCTAAAGAAATCTTGAAAGATTTAAATACTAAGCATTTAATTAAGAAAGAATTTACTAAAAAAATTCCTGAAAAAGAATTTGAAAAATGGAGGCACCCTTGTTGTTATGAATGTAGGTTCTACTCACATCTTTGACCTCAGTGGGACAAACTCCAGGAATTTTGCACCTGTAGCATGAAATGAAATTTCCAAAAACAGTTTTAAGGATATTATGGCTCAATACACCAGTCTAAGTAAAGTAAATCACTATATAATGTCCATACTTAGAGGTACAGGCACAGCTTTGGACTTAATTTGCGAAAAGTATGTAAAGCCTTCCTCGTACACAAGGAAAACCTTGCAGATATGAGCACCTCTGAAAGGACATCCAGTGTGCTTACTTTTGGCTGAGACAGAACTTGAATGTGAATTTGGTTATATAATAACAAAGGCTGCAGTCTTAAGAGATTCATTAGATCAAGTAAGGTACCTTTTAGGTAACAAAACTGCTGCATTATTTGAAGAAGCAAAATGAGATAATTTCAAATTCTTATCATAAATGCCATTCAGACTTGTGCTGAACAACCATTTCTAGAAGAAACGACAAATCTAGGTTCAATAAATGAGTTTAATTTTGAAACTGAACTTAGGGACAAAGACGTACTGACTGAAAATGAAATTTTGTCTCCTGTGGAATATGAACTATCTGAATTAGTTCTGATAAAAGCCTCTCCAGAAACATTTTTACTAGAACAAAAGGAAGGTATTGAATTGAAGACACTATATGAAGAAAGTAACCAAAAAATCTTGTAAAGGTACTTATATATTATCTCAATCAGAAACATCATAACTCAATATAGTAGCTTGAAGAGATACTCATATTTTAGCTACACTTGATGAACAGATTACCAAGGCTGTTGATAAACCGACGAAATCTAATCATTCTTGTATAAAAATATGTGAACCTACTCTTTTAAATAATGCAATTCTGCTCCTAAGAGATATGGAACTGACTGAAGTTATCCCTTTTACTAATACATTACCAACTGCAAATAATATAACTATTTTGTAAACATTTATCTCTCCTCTATCTGTATCTCTAGGTATAAATAAAGATATGCTGCTTCATAATGAAATGCAACTTTGATGAAATCCAACCCAGGTGGCAAAATATTTTATCATTATTTGAATGAGTATTATAAATTATGAAGATATGCTGGTCCAGAAATAAATTCCAAACTGAGAGCAGTAGTAGAAAGAAAAAGAAAATGAAAACAAGAGTGTAATCAGAATCTTTTTTTTTTAATTTTTTATTTATTTATTAAAAAAAAATTTTTTTTAAAGAATCTGTTCATCTGTTCCTGATTTATTAAATGAAAAACAAACTGTAGC